CAATGTTTTTAGCTTGACAGATAAAAGTTGCTTTATCTTCTATGTTTTTTTTTATACAATTTTGTAGACAGAATTGAAGAATTTTTATTCTTACAAATTCAAACTGGGAATAAAATATTCATTTTTGAGACAAAAGTTTCCTGTAGATAATTGAAAAATAATATGTAAGGGAGCTATATCCTCTCAAAGGGGTCTTTTAATGAGCTTTTCCTAGTTTCAAAATTTAAGATAAACTTAGAAAATTTGGTACAGCTGATAACTTTTATACACCTAACCGAATTCGATCATAAAATGTCAAAATGTTTAATTAGGCGTGTGCTAAATTGGGAAGGAGTAGGGTAAAAAGTACCACCTTAACTTTTTGGCTTAGTCTCTTGCCTTTTTCAACAACAAAATCTTAAATTCTATAGTTTTCTAAAATAAGTAGTTTCTTGCATTGTTTAGATACAACTTATTGTTTCAAATAAAATCAATTTAAAATTTACGTTAGAGACCATAAATACATTAAAATTTAAATTATTTTTTTACCCTGTACCTTTCCAGTTTGGAAGCCTTTGATTAACAATTTTATGATTTGATTTTTGAATTTGTTTAAGTGTATAAAGATCATCCTGTACCAAATTTTCTAATTTTATGGTTTCTGAAATATCGGAAAAAACCACTAAAAAACGCACCTCTTTTCAAATATGTAGTTTTTTTTGATACACATTCATTAATAGTATATTAAAAAATAAGTGTTACAAACACGCAGTGGCGAGTGTTACAAATGCACGTGTATCATTGTATCACAATAAGAGGTTGTAACAAACGTTTTTTATACATTTTTTTTCTATTAAGCCCTTTTTAAATTGAATTTATTATTATATTTGACAGGTAAAATTTTTGACATTTGACGTGTGTGAAAATAGCTCAAATTACTTTGATCTACAACAATTTCTCACTTATTCACAGTCAGTGATGATAGAATGTTTTGTACAAAATGTTTCCAAAAACAGTGTATTTTATGCAACTGAAAACAGTTAGTTGCACAAAATGCTCATTGTAACACCGAATTAGAAAAAAAAAACGTTTTTTCTTAAAACTGAATATTCTATCACATAAATTAATATAATAATTAATAAAAATGGAAACAGCCTGTATAATTTCTTCAATAAATGATAAATATTTAGTGGGTAAATGATCTTTTTTTTGTCATAACTAGGTCAAATATGGAAAAAGTATTACGTACCAGAAAATTGTCTTCTGCGAAAGATTTTTCGTCCCAAAAAGCGTATTGGCAAATAGATGTACTCGTAAATTATTCAAATTAGTTTTTGTCATTTGCTTTATACATGTGTCAATTTTAATACTTACAGTTGGAGACAAAATACTTTGGTCGTTCATGTCACTTGAGTGACATTAAACTGTAAAGCATGCTTTAGGAGTGTTAACCTTATTTTTAGCTACTGTCAATCATAGTTGACAAGTTGTATGCACATATTTTTGATAAGAAAATAAAATAGCTGTCATTAATTTGAAATTGTCATTCATTTTAACGTTAAAGTTTGAATTACATTAAAGTGTCAGAAAATTTTCATTTTTTTCCTTATATTCAAGGATGAGCAGAGGTGCTTCACTTACCATGTTATTTTGAGTCCCCCTAGGAACCACCAAAAAGGTTTTGAGTGATTCTCAATAACTTTTTCAGTTGCGAGATATTGCCGATTGCAAATTTTAAAATTAAAACGTGATAGCTCGAACGCTCTCATACCCGTGTAAAAATTAATTAATCATCTTTCTCGCGCCAAATAGCAATTGTTTTTGGAGAAGGGAACACGGAGCAATTTTGTTAGACACTATAGCAAAAAATATCAAACTTTAGACAATAAACGATGATGAAAAATGAAAATTCAATCCAACCTTTACTGCACCGGACGGCTTATTTCCGTTAATTAATATTATTTAAGCCAAAAGTCCATAAAAATATAAATTAAAAAAAAATTAACCAAGAGTGCGTTGAATTTCAATCATTCAATCTGATACTTCTGACAGTTGTTGACATTTTGCGCCGATTTGTGAACCATACTCTTCAAGAAAATCAAACAAAAACGATAGAAAACGGAAGTATACGTTACTGGTGATTTGAAAAAGGCAAAAGGTAACGTAATTAGTATTTGTGTCGGTTTTGTTTGCGTGTAGGTACGACTTACTGCAAGTTTGTTTTGACGGCACAACGTGCCGCCGACCGTCTCTATAAAAAACCGTCTCGAAAGACAAAGAGCTAGATGGTAAGTCGTGAAGTGTTGTTTAACACACAAGAGCCCCTTATTATATTAAGAATTTTGGTAAAGAAATGTGTAAATTAAGATTATTCTGACATTGTGAGATGACGGAAATAATGCCAAAAACACTGGTCGACTTGAAATACTTAGGTGGTGATTTGTGAAGTGTTGTTTAAGACTTAAGAGCCCAATACAAAAGAAATTTGGCCAAGAAATGTGAAATCTAAGGTTATGACATGAATTACCACAGAGTAACCAAAAATTTATGTCAAACCCATTGAGCTAACAAAAAAATAGATCGAAATATGTAGGTAGTGTTTTGTGAAATGTTGTTTAAGACTTTAAGAGCCACAAATAGGGTAAACTAGGGTGATATGGTGAATCGGGTGAAATGGTGATTTAGTCTATTTCTTTTTCGGACAGAGAGATTTTTCTGTAATTCTGTTTGACAGTTGTTTATGATCATTTGTGCATCGAGCACCAATTAAAAACCAGTCCCGTTTTGAAAAGCGTAAGAAATTTGTACAAAATTGTTTCCGATACTCAATAATTTTTATACGGTGCAGGCGTTTGTAGATGTTGCTTCAGGTAGCCTACTTCGCGAGGTATTTTTTGATATGTTCTGCCTTTTTAGACTGTTTATACACTACATAAGCTAGACATCGTTGTCTCTAGTATTTTGAACTGCTTGCCGCATTATTTGCCGTTTCACATGGCCAGTGGGAGAAATGGTGAACGACTTTTTTTCTTACATGTACTCGTATTTCTCGACCTAAGTAAAAGTTTCAACTATATCAGCATTGTTCCAGGCAAAGATGCCTACATTTTGTAAAATTTTATAAATTTTTTATATATTTTTTTTAATTTTATATTTTATAAAATAGTAGTGTATTGGATAAAATCTATAGATGCCAACTTTGGTTACACAAAGACTGTACAAAATTATGAGTCAATGTGTGATATTTGGGGCAAAAAGCATATTTTTATGCACCCATGCATATGTGTGAAATGGTGAATTTGATAAAAAACTAATATTATTTGTTATGTTATGTCTTTAAAAAATTATGACACTGTTAAGTTGTTACCTATATATTTTATAAAACTATAGTATTTTTATTTGGTTTAAATAAACTATGTCTTGTGTTCTACAAGGCTCACTTTTTTTGTTCACCATATCACCCTGGTTTACCCTAAAAGAAATTTGGCCAAGAAATGTGCAATTTGAGGTTATGACATAAATTTCCATAGAGTAACAAAAGACTCGATGTCATACCCACTACGCAAAGCCGCGAGCCCCCTTTATAAATTTTGAGGAAATCTGATAGTATGAGTTCCACTCGGGGGAGAAGCCGCTAGCCCCCTCTAGAAATTTTGACAAAATCCGATAATTATATAAAATGTTTGCAAATCTTATAGTGCGAGCCCCCCTATAAGTTTTAACAAAATCTGATGGTGTAAGTTCTATTCGAGGGCAAAGCCCCCGACAATTTTGACATTTTTCGAATCTGATATTATGAGTTCTACACGAGAGGCGAGCGGCTGTCCCAACGACTACTTCTACAAAACATTTGCAAATCCGATAGGATTTGTCCGATCAAATATAATTGCTAATCGTTTAAAATGAGTTTTCACAAACGAATTTGCTTTGTCGTGAGTTGCCCATTTAAATCTGGGTCTCTGTTTCGTTTTCCGCGTCCATAAAAAGAGCCAGAGAGGTTCAGATTGTAACGTTATAATATAATTTTTAACCTATAATCTTTTTCTAAAAATAAAATTTTGTCTAAAACATGTATTTTATATTTGATTTATTTTTAACAAGAATAAATAAATAAAAAGACTCAAAACAAGTAAAGTCTGTTTTTTTTTTAAATGGAAATGCCAAACAGTCTTAACGTTGGCACCTCTAGTAAATTCATTCATGGTAATTTTAATAAAGGAAGTTGGCAATTTCAGTTTTTTTGAATTAATTTGAAAACAATGACATTAAACGTCAACACAAAAAATCGTCTAAGAAAATTTTGAGACGAAACACCAAAAAAGAAATAAATTCGGTACACCAACAGTTTTTAGAAATTTGGAAACGAATAGATCGCAAGCAGGTTAGAAAAAAAGCCCGTAAAATGTAGACGCAATTTGTAATGCAGGTTTGCTAAACATTCTCAATTTTTAGCAAGAAATTGACAAGAATACAAAATAAACATGAATGAGAAAGAACCTCGGAAAGAAAGCATTTAAATTAGTGTCTTGTGCATCGTTTTTGAGGAACGAGTTGAAAAAGTAACAATTTTGACACTAAACCTGAAGAAGAATTTATAAAATGCATCAATTTTGAGCTCATTTTAATATTGTCAATCATCATACCTACTTGTATCTTTTGCTAAATAACTTTACATCCTTTTTTTTCAAAGTTTTTGTAGCAAGAACCTTATTTTTGTCCATAACATTGTACTTACTAGCGGTGTGTTTCTGTCAAAATCATTAACACTGAATTCTGTCTTTGACCTTAGGTAATGATGTCTGTCCTCAGGTATTCAATTATAGCGCTTTTAAAGAGCAAGGCACACAAGATTCATAAAAGTCAAAATTTTGACAACATCTCAATTTGAAAACAGAACCATAATTTTTTAACAAAACTTCAAGGGACAAAAACAAAGAGCAAACAAAAATTGTGGTTATGGAGTCAAGCTGCTATCAATTTTTTCACCAAAATTTTGTCATGGAAAAAACAGACTTTAGACACAGAGATACAGATACAGAAACTTTTAAAAACCATTGAGTAGTCGAGTTATTTAGTAGATGTGCAGTGGTCATGGTTACTTTTACAAACATTTGTTTTGAAATTTACTTCATCAAAATTCTAAATTATGTTTAAGTCGGTTTTATTCTTGGCACTGTTTTTGTGCGTAAATGGTATACAAAAATATAACCCCAGAAGGGCAGGTTATTGTTCGAAACGTTGTAACACTAACGTAAAAGCTACCGGTTGCATATGCAAACTGCTAGGAGCTAAGACCGAACTTTTAGATAACATGGTGGAATTTCGACAAGTGATTGTGGACGAACACAATTATTACAGAAATTTGGTCGCTTCTGGTAACGAAACACGCGGCTTTACCAAAGCGGCAGCCGACATGATGATCATGAACTATGACATGGAGCTTGAATTCTTGGCACGATGCCACGCAAGATACACTTTTAGAGCAAATCACGATAGATGTAAAGTGTTGAAAAACTGTAGAAAAGCAGTACAGAATATCGCTGGATACGGTGCTAAAAATGAGAGCTTGAAAATGGTAAAAGAACTCATTAGATTATGGTAAAAGCTTGAAACTGTTTGATCAGTTCTATATTTTTATTTCGCAGGTACGACCAAGTCAAAGACATGCAGGAAGATAATTACTTGAATTATCCTCGTAAGAACAAAAGCATTAAAATTGAAAACTATGCAACAATGTGTTGGGGGTCTGCTAATATTGTAGGTTGTGCTCGAGTTTATTCATCAGATACGAAAGAAGACAAATATATAAATCCGAATTATAACACAGCTTTAATATGCGACTACGCTATGAAGGATATTAAAGGAAACATGCTCTTTGGCAAGCCGATGTACACTCAAGGGCCACCGTGTTCAAAATGTCCCAAAAAGAAGAAATACAACAAATGCAACACGAAGTACACCTCTTTGTGTGGAGAACTAGAAACAGTTCCAACTGACAAACCGTTTGATTTTAAATCTAGAGCTCCAAAACACAAGTCTATTCCAATAGTCATTTTCATTGCTTTATTTGAGGTTTGTCTCTTTTAAGAAACAAACGACAACTTTCTGTATCTTGTATTAAAACTTTCTGGGGAAATAAACCATGTCTCGAATGTTGAGTTTTGTTAAAAATAATGACGTAGAATCTCGTAATCACAAATGACATATGACAGTTCAGGTTGGGAAGTGGACATTTCCCAACTTGAATTGTATATACAGTGTGTTCCGTTTTTATTGTTACTAATTTAAACAGGTGATAAGATATTCAATTCTAAGACAAAAGTTTCCTATAAACATGTATCAAAAAATGCTTGGTAAGGGAGCTACACCCCATTTAAGATAAAATTACAAAATTTCGGGCAAATGATAATCTTTATACACCTAAACGAATTCAAACATCAAATGTCGAAATTTTTAATCAGGGGCGTACGAGACTGGGGGAGCTTAAGGTAAAAAAATACCCTATTTATTTTGGCTTTAGTTTCTCGGTACTTTCAGCAACAAAATCTTAAGTTCGATTATCACAGAAAAGTCTCTCTTGTGTCGATACGACTTATTGTTTTTGAATAAAATTAATTTAAAATTTATGTTACACACCAATACAACATTCAAATAAATCAGAATTTACAGAATAATAAAAGCAAGAAATTCATATTTTTTAATCAACTTCAACTAATTAACATTACATTACAGTAACAATAATAACATTAATTAAATGAATTTGCCTAAATCTAAAGGAGTTGTTCAAAGTGACCACCATTTTGGTCAATGCATAACTAAAGAAACTAGAGCCAAAATAGATAGGGTATTTTTTTACCCTAAACCCCACCAGTTTCGGGCGCCCCTGATTAGAAATTTCGACATTTGATGTTTGAATTCGTTTAGGTGTATAAAGATTATCATCTGTACCAAATTTTGTAATTTTATTTTAAATGGTCTCTGAAATATTATCAAAAATCTATTAGCCCCCTTTCAGGAGGTGCAACTCCCTTACCAAGCATTTTTCGATACATGTTTATAGGAAACTTTTGTCTTAGAATTGAATATCCTATCACCTGTTTAAATTTGTAACAATAAAAACGGAACACCCCGTATGATATCAGTTTCTAAATGAAATTGAAGTGTCATACTTTCCAACTTTTCACATGCAAGGTGATTTGATTTTTATTTTTTTTATTTATTTAAATATACTGTTTCTATGGTGCATTAAAAATACGCTTCATCCATAACCTAAGTCATCAATAGTAACGTATCTTAAGAGTCGATAAAATACGCTATTTTGACATAATTTCTGAATTTAGTAAAATTTCTGATTCAAAATTGGTGTTGCAAAAAATCTTGAAGACAACACGAGTTTTATAGTTTAAAAATCTCATCCTATTAAATTCTCGCTCCCTCCGGTCGCTTGAATTTAAACTACGTCCTCGATTTTTAAACTGTTTATAAAACTCTAGTTTAAATCTCCTAATACTGAAACAAAAACAACTGAAATTTATGCTTCACTACTTTGCAAATCCACCATTCGGTTGTAATTTGCTGAAAAATTGTGTTAAAAAGCTTTGTGAAAAAAAATCGCCAATAAATTCCGTGTCATGTGTAGTGCCCCAGTTGAATAAATACCTTGAAACAAAACGAAATTGTTGTGTTTACTACAATATTTTATAGTCGTATTCCTCTGCGTCATGATTGCTCATAATTTCATGTGTGCATGCAATAAAAACGACACAATGTTCAGAATTTTATATATCTTGTTTGCTTCAGTTTTTGTATTATATTTATCATTTGTCGTGTTTGTCTTTTACAAAAATAATACTATAACAATGTCATTGTTTGATTGAAATGTGCGGTTTTGTATATTTGCCATCACAATAACGCGAATTTTCCCCTCGCCAAAATTCAATTCCAAAAATGATGATTACATTTTTAAATCCCCCTTTTACGCGATTTTATGCGTCAAGTTTCCTGTATCCATTTTTTTTTATTTATACTGCATCTGACCCATTAAAGGGCGAAAGTATCAACCGACATATGTGGGGCTGTATCAGGCCAATTCTCAGAGGTGTGCTAAATTAGATCATGAAATTTCGGGATTATAGCAAAAAAGTTATATTAACATTCGGGGCGGGCGTTTCCATATTTACGAGACATTAGTTGTGGATTATACGGATCATTTTTACCCTCGGCGAGTCGTAAAACGGCTCAGGACGTCGTTAAATCGCTTCAAAACGTGATAAGTGTATTTAAAATTTTCAAAAGAACCATCACAATGAGAGAACACAGTTTAAAGGACCAGAAATATTTTTTTTAATAATATGATAACACTTAAAAAAATCCATTGATTTAAAAATGATCGATTTGTCCGTGCGCAAACACCCTCGAAAAAAACAAAACTTTCTAATCTAAAGCTATTATCTTCCCTAAAAGTCTAAAACAAAGAAACACAATGCGAGGCTAAACAAATACTTGAAAAACAAACGCTAGTGTATAACATTTTGACAAACGACTGGCGTGTAGTTGGCAAACATGGGACAAGTGCGGCCCCAGGCCTCACAAAACATTTCCCGGGGGTGTTGTGTAGGAGAGCCCGGATGGGGGCAGAGCAAAGCCCCGACCGTGTTCTACACGTCAAATGACCACTTTACACCAATGTGAGGTCTAATGATGAAATATGGCACTGTTGGGACACGTTGAATCATTGGAATTCGCAAAGGAAGAGGATGGATGGTCGCCAAACGCGCTTATCTATTGTTATGGCCTCGACTAAATGGAATCAAGCGACTTTTATGCCAGACCTTTACGATATTTTTAAGATAAATGGGTCGATTTTTACCGGAGAGTGCAGTTTGGGGTTTAGACACCACATAAATAACACTGGAAAATGTTTACATGATTTTATTGTAAAACAAACTAGATATTTTTTTGTTACAACACTTTTGACCCATTTGCTAGGCAAATTAAGCGATAGTCATAAATGGTACACTCTATTTATACACGTTGATTCTTTTTAAAACGAGCCACTCTGGATATTTCATAAAACAAACAAAAATTAGAAAACCCCGAGACATCAATTTTTATTTTTATTTAGTATTTACAGGGGGACACATTTTACTGAACTTTTGAAAGTTGTAGCATTAACCCCCTTTATAATACAAACAATCCCTTCAAAATTTTAAATGACACCATCCCCTTTGTGATACCTCAAATAAAAGGTATTTTGGCCGGCTGTTTTTTTTTAATTTGGAGTATTCTTTATTTACGTTACGCAGAACAATATCTAGCAGAATAAATTACTAAAAAAGTACAAGAATAGCTATGAAATGTTGTTTGCGTTGCTTGAGAGTAATCAAATATAAAAAAAAAAATTTAATGACCTGACTTGGAATTTTCTAATTTTTGTTTATTTTCTGGCTCGTTTTAAAGAAATCATCTTGTATAATGATAATTAATAAAATAATTAAAACACGAGGAAACTAACAAAAATTCGTTTTATTTATTACTTAAATAGAGTCTTCCAAAAAATATATCGTGTTTACCACTTAATGCAGTATTTAAATTTTACTAATTTTTATGAAAGCCTAACCGCAAATCATAATTTCTAAACCCCAATAAAGAGAGGTAAACAGATTTTCTCAATGTTAGGCCAGGTCCGTTTTTCATATCCTTTTGTGTGATAGTTACAGTTTTACATTGAACTTGTCATAAACTTATAAAAGGTTGTAAATACGGTATATCTTTCGGCAGACTTTGCACAATAGGAAACATAATTTAGGCTTAAACTAAAACATTATGTGATTTCTCTATATAATCACGAAAATAAAATGAATACAATGCAAAGCATTAATCAAAATCCACTTTTTTGACCTTTTGTAATTCTACGTTTACCGCATTTATGATATATTTGAATGAAAAACCGTCTCTCGTAAATTTTTCTTAATTTTTGGACGAATTTTATCGATATTCGACAGCGCAAGACAATTTTGCGTGTTTTCCGCAGTGTGACGAACTCCACACCATCAAATGCTTTTTAGTTTCAGAATATTACTTGTAAAACCTACTATTTTCAAATTTCACGAAACCCAAAGAACCGATTTGTTCTTGTATTCCAAAATATTTTTTTAATTCTTGAAACCGCCATGGCAGTTAATCACAATTCATCAGCTATTATTTGCTCTAACATCTAAGAATTCTCGACAATTTTAACCTTCACAAGAGACACATTTCTCTTATACGTCGAAGAATTTGAGGTCCGGTCTGGAATCTTCTGTACCACTTAGAAACAGTCACCAGAAATGGGGCCCCAAACGCAATTTTGCCTTCATTTAGGATTTAATTTATGCCAAAAACCAAAAAAATTCAAAATTTTCAAGGTTTTCTCTAAGTTTTGTTTTTTGTCTCCATTTTAACAGTTTGACTTTAAAATTAGCGTATAAACTTAAAAAACTATTACAAATCGAATGACACTATTGATCTGTCAAAATAAAATATAAATCAAGGCGAACTAAACACACTTTTGTTGGTCTTCTTATAATACTTTTTTGTAATTATAATAATCTTAGTTTTGTAATGACTTTAACTATTAAAAAAAAACATTTTTTCCAAACTTAACCAACAAACTTTTGTATTTTTCTGAGGTTACCATACCAGGAATGCAGGAATGTAAAAAAATTTCGAAGTTTCTCTCTGGCAATCGAGTTGTTAGAACATTTTACGGTACATACATATAATCATGGTGTGCGAATCTAACATTGATACAACTTTTTCAAAATTATGGAAGATTTCAGATACGCGGTGCAGATATTAGCTAATAATTCCGTAACTATGGGCTTTACAAATGCTTAGATCTAAGAATTATAACTACAAGGTGCTCCAAAACTCGCGCCCCAGAGAAAATGCCATGTAAAATAATATACCAGGAACATAGAGAAAATGTTAAAAAATTCTATCTATAAACATTTCGAAGTTATGAGAGTTTAAATTTTGCAATTTGGCTCTATTTATTTCTGTTGGAAAAATATTTTTTCAAGTTTATTAGTTTATTAGTATTAGAATCCTAAACTATCCTAAACTGTAACTCTCCTTTACTGTTATTTGTGGTTTTTATTGGCAAAAAATG